TTAATGGAATTAAATGCTGCCTAATTAGAGATGGATGAACTACCCTGTGGTAAACCCTGTGGAGTTCTCTTTTTCCATTTAGTGGCTTCTGAATTTCCCCATCACTTCCATCAATGTTTGCGAGTATTCTAACCCAGATGAGCAAATGTAGTGCTGTACAACAAAATCTCTGAAAGCTGCCCACTCCTTTTCTGCTCCACTATTGCTGTGTTTTGACTCATCTCTCCCTCCTAGTTAGCAACAAACTATTCCCACTCAGAGAAGTTCTCTAATCTGTTGACATTAATTCTTCTGGCAGTTATTTTGCCCTGGGGCCACTGCTTTTGTTGAATGCGAATATTTAGCTTGGAGAGGATAAGTCTATGATCAGTCCAGCACTCTGCCGCCACACACTGCCTTAATTACTCTCACATCCTGTCTCTTCTCCTTACAATTACATAGTCTATTAAATGCCAACATTTGTTTCGAGGGTGCATCCAGGAAGTTTTATTGCATTTAGGTGGCTGGAAGACAGTGCTGGTGATGAGAAGGTCATGAGATGCGCAAGTCTTCAGCAGTAAGTGACCTTGGCTGTTGATGTTTCCAACTTCATTCCTCCTAAGGACTCCCTGCCATGCCTGGTAGTCTGAGCCCACTCCAGCACTAAAGTCTCCCAGAATTATAAGCTTGTTGTCTTTTGGCACATTAATGATGAGGGTGTCCAGGTCTTCATATAATTTTTTTTTTTACCTCATTAGGGTTTATCATAGTGGGAACATACACACTCATGATAGTGGTGTGCTGTTTTCCTGCAAATGGCAATCACACTGTCATAAGCCTGTCATTCACTCCTTTTGGTAGTGACCAGGATAAATGACTAGGATAGTTGTGATTGCAAAAACCTAGACCAGCTTCACGGTGCTCCCCTTCACTGTGGCCACTCCAGAAAAATGTGTATCCAGCTCTAGCTTCAGTAAGCTGTCCTTCATTTGCCAGCCTTGTTTCACTCGGGGCCATTATCTGGATGTGATACTTGCCGAGTTCTCTCACAGCAAGAGTTGTTTGTCTTTCAGGATGACTGGATTTTGTGTTGCCTATAAGTATGTGCACATTCCATGTACCCAATGGTGAGCAGAATCATCTTTGCAGAAGTTTTTATACAATTTTATTGTGTTTTGACTGCAAGGTGGGATCCCTGCCTGCCACAGTAATCAGGCCAGGTTTGAGAAAGCAGACAATTTTTAGGACACCTTTTCTAGCCTCTTCCTCATGCCAGGAGGTTAGCGGTCCAGTCCTTCAAAAGAGCTGCTCAGAGACCCAAGGGGCTGCCAAATCCCACTGCTGCTTCCAGTGAGATGATGACCCTATGGCCTGGGCTGCCTGTGTGCAGGGTTCTGACTACAGCTCCCAGTGTAGCCTTACCAACTGCTTCGTCACTTGCCTGTCACCACAGGACTTAGAGGTAGGTAAAAATGGTAAAATGGTATGGGTGATGTCTTTTGACTTGAATACAAATTTGATTTAAGTGAGGCAGAGATGCCCAAAGTCAGCAGCCTCATTCTCTTTTCCAGAGTCATCAAAGTCCAGTAGCAAGACAAAAGTCAAGATGAGTGGCAATGGCTCAGGACGCAGTGGATCACTTTAGCATCTTTGATGTCTAACCAAGCTCTTCACATGCTTGGGGTAAACACTCCCTTAACTCACTAATAGGTTTGAGACCCCTCAGTTACCCTTAACTTGGTTTAGCCCATCTGCCAAAATGGTTTACCAGGGTGTGGCTGCAGTGCATGCTACAGCTTCTTGGAACCACAGGTGAAATTTGGGTGATTCAGGTGGACACCAAAAGTGGAAAACTGTCCTGAAAAGGATTTAGCAGCCTTCGCACCAGAGGTACTGGTCTTCCCTGAACACATCATACGCCCCAACAGAAAGCCATAGTTAATGTGAGTAAACTGGATGAAGATCCAATAAAGGAGACAGAAGAATAGATTAGATAGATAAGAAAATCAAGAGAATGTTGCCACAAAAACCTATAGAGAGGAGAGAATAACCAAGAGAAGAGAGTGATCAAATGTCACAGGTTGTAGAAAAGTCAAGAAGGCTAAGAAGTGAGAAAAGGCCATTAGATTTGGTAATTAAAAGATTATTGGTGAATCTGGAGAAAGCAATGTCAGTTTAATTATGAGGTCAGAAGCCAGACTGCTGAAGATTTATAAACAAATGAAAGGACAGGAATCTGAAGCAACACATGTAGATGGTTTTTTCAAGAAGTTTAGCTTAGAAAGGGAAGAGAGATACAGAATGATGGAGAGCAGGGATGGTAGAGTTGAGTGAAGGTTTTTTTTAAAGGGTAGGAGTAGAAACATGTTGAAAGAAAGAAACTGAATAATGGATAGAGTCGGGCAAGAAGGGCCATTTCTTCATCTATGACAGGCATGAAGGAAAAAGTCTGACTGACATAAAATGAGAAAGGGAGATGAATACCCTGGCATACGGTCTTAATTTTTTTAAAGTATGAGGTAAGGGCTACAGCTAAAAAGAGGTGCCATGGGGGCAGGTAGGTGGCACAGTGGATAGAGCACCGGCCCTGGATTCAGGAGGACCCAAGTTCAAATCCAGCCGCAGACACATAACACTTACTAGCTGTGTGACCCTGGGCAAGTCACTTAACCCCACTGCCTAGCCAAAAAAAAAAAAAAAGAAAGAAAAGAAAAGAAAAAAAAAAGAAGAAGTGCCATGGGAGGCTTCAGAAGAGATGAAGAGGTTTAGAATAGGCTAGAATAGGGAGTGGGGAAATAAATTGAGTAGGAGAGTGTAAAAAGGTTGCCTTGGGGCAGTGAGAGCCCTGATAATTTGTGTTATGTTATGCACACCTTTTCACTTTCTACACTCACAAGAATGACACAGAAATTTAAAAAATGATGCAGACCTCACTACTGACACTGCTATATTCCTTATAAATTTCATCAACACTGATTCAAGATGTAAAGTGAGTCTCTTCTAAAAACTGATTCTTTTCAATTTCCAGTATAACATGAACACTAATTTCTTACTCTTAAAGACTGATGTAATGGCTTGCCTACCTATCAGTAAGTTTAAAAAGGCAAAGACTTAATCATACTTCATATTTTGTAAATCATTCTTGAAAATTCAATGACTACAACAACCTTTCTGACTTTGTACTCTTTTTAGTATGTGATTAAAACACTTCTTTCCTGGTTCTGTCTGACCTTTGGGTGCTTTTCTTTTTAGAAAATATTCAAAATAATTTCAAATACTAATTAAAATTATTAAATTATATATAAATTCTAAATATATTTATATTTTATTATATGCTACATACACATAAAATTATTAACAATAATAATTTTAAAGTGTTAAAAAATTTTTCAGTGGGGTTGTAGCTAATTATAGCCTTAACTTAGCTCTATGGAATGTATATATGTAGAAATGCAGGTAAACTTGTGTGGGAAGAACCCAACAATCAAAAATGTCCATCAGTGCAATAAACAGGTTAAGTGCGCAGTATCTTAAGTATAAAATCAGGAGACAAGTGACTAAAGAGCTCTTTCCATTTAGTTCTTGAAGTATTTAGAAATCTTACAACAAAGTTAAAGGTATCATTATGATTGCATCTGACTGTCTTAAGGGAAAAAAAAAATCTGTTTCAGTTGTTCAGCTAGCAAACTCCAAACGTACATGGAGTTCATCTTTGTCTTTCTGAGAAAGAACAGTATTAGGATGTCCATTTTTTTTTTTTGCACATGAACTGCAAATCTATTATGTACAACTTGCTATTCCTTTTAAATATAAAGTTACCATGTTATTTTTTCCTCTTCTTTTCTTCCCTCTACTCCTCTCCCCCATCCTAAAGATAGTTAACATTACCTCCAAATATGCAAATATGTAAAATCATTCTATATATACATCTATTTATCAGTTCTTTCTCTCGATGCAGATAGTATCTTCCTTTGTAATTAATTTGGGTATTTATAATAGTCAAAATGGCTTATTTGTTCAAAGTTGTTCTTAAAATATATTGCTGTTAACTGTATACAACATTCTCTTGGTTTGGCTCGTGTCACTCTCCATTACATCATGCAAGTCTATGCTTGTTTTCTCATCACTTTCTACAGCACAGTAGTATTCCATCATGATCATATACCACAAATTGTTCAGCCATTACCCATATGATGGGCACTCCTGCAATTTCCAGTTGTTTGCTACTACAAAGAGAACTGTTATAAATGTTTTAGAACATGTAGGTTCTTTTCCTTTTTCCCTAATCATCTTTGGAAATAGATCTAAGAGTGGTATTGCTGGGTCAAAGGGCACAGGCAGTTTAATAACTCCTTGGGCATAACTCCAGATTGCTCTCTAAAATGATTGCATCAATTCACTATTCCACCAACAGTGGAATTTTTCATAATTTTTCCACATCTCCACATCTCCTCTAATATCTGACACTTTCCCCTTCAATCATTTTAGCCAATCTGATAGGAGTAAAATGATATCTCAAGGTTGTTTTAATTTGCAATTCATTAATCAATAAAGATTTAAAGTATTTTTTCATATGACTATAAATTGTTTTGATTTCTTCATTAGAAAACTGCCTATTCATATTCTTTGACCATATATCAATACAATGACTTGTATTCTTATGGACTCGACAAAGTTCTCTGTGTGCATGTGTGTGTGTAGTTATAGCAGAGAAAACAGACGTGGAAATGGAAGGGAATTAGCCCATTCTCAGAAATCAAAATAATATACACAAATCACTGAAATACATTATCTCTTTTAAATACTACATTTAATTTATCTATCTGAGATGTAACACATTAAAAGTTGTATACACATAAAGTATGTTTTTACATAACACATTATTCTATTAAAATAGATATATTCACAATTCAAGCTATCTTTAAAAAAAGTAATAGACCAAGAGAAATGCAGAATGTAGATATTTTGTAAACTGAAAACTATATATACTGTGAGAACTGAATTTTAAATATATAGCATACCTGGCCTGTTCTGATCTGTCAAGAAAATATTCAAAGACATTGTTCATTATAACAACATCAGCATTTTGAAGAAGTGAGGCTTGAGTACATATATTTGCATGATGCACCTGAAGATCAGAATGAGTTCATGTAAGAAACAAAAAGTCTGTCAGTAACCTATATCACAGACAAGATAATAACTGGAATAGCAATAGGCATTAGTTTGATGGACTGATAGAAGTGGGCATTATCTTAACTAAATCAAATGGAAATGCATAGTGACTTTAATATAAATGGGAAGATTAAATCTATAGATGCTAAAATATCAACTGGTGAAAATTTGACAAACCAACTTATTTCATTTGTATATATGTAACATTCAATCAGTTATTATAACTTTTATTAACAATATTGATTCAACACACTACAAAAGAGGAAATGTGCAAGAAAGTAAAGGAATGTATGCTTGGAAAAAAATGATAGGTCAGTCACATCACAAGAGATGAGGTTTAACAGATGGCCTGCATTCTACACTTGTATTGCTCACAATGTGAAAAAAGATTTAGAAGACTTCCAGTATGTTGACGGCTCCGCTAGGGAGAATTATGATATGACATAGAAACAGTCCGTTAGGATGGGCAGATATGAATGGATTACAATTTGCATTACTGGATAAAGTATCCACATTAGTGAGATCATGGGTCTATTGACCTATTCTTTCAATGATGTTAGATAGCTAAGCATAATGGAATTTCACAGCCTAAAAAAATCAAAATTGTGGGTCACTTAAAAAAAAGCACTGTCTCATATGATCAGCACAAATAAATTGCATCATATTACTAATAATGTACTGGGACAAAGTGGTTCAGACAAGCTCAACAAAAAGATCTATGGCTAGAAAGTGAAGTGGACCTGTTAAGATAAAGACAAGAGGTAAAGCAAATGAACAGCTCACTTAGTGCCCTGTTTTTGTTAAGAAACAGAGGAAAGATCACACTGAATGGACAACCTGTGAAGGATTTATGGAAGGACATAGACAAGAGACACATAAAACGAGTAGTTTGGCTGAAATCTGCACCTCTAGCTAGAGTACTCAGAATCAATCAACAAGTATTTATTAAGTGCCTAAGAGGTGCCAGGTTACATGTTATATAGTGAAGTATGGAAATACTAAGTACCCCCAACACTCTCAAGATATGAAAATAATTTAGCCACTTACTTTGTCATTTTTAATCATGTCCTTTCCAAGCTTGAACAAATGAAAAAGCATTCATTAAGCACTTACTTTGTGTCCTTTCTATTCCAATTCGATTACTGCCATACATCTGCTATCTCTAATTTTTCTAAAGTTCTATTCAGCTCCTTAAATTCTTTCTTGTTTCTCTTTTGGTAAGATTTGTCTAGATCTGAAGGGGGTACATTAAGGTCCCCACTACTATTATAGTTTTACTATTCCTCATTTTAATTTGATTTACTTCTTTTAAATATTTAGATATTATTTTATTAGGTACATATATTTTAAGTACTGATAATATCCACAGTGCTTTTGAACATAATGTAATTTTTCCTACTTATCTAGGAAATATTTATCTTTACTACAGCCTTAACTTAAATCACGATTGCTACTCCTACTTTTTTAGGGTCAGCTGAAGTCCCACATTTTAAGTCTATTGGAATCTTTGTGTTTCAAATGGGCACACGACTTGGAGTGAGGAAAACCTGAGTTCAAATTCGGCCTTAGACACTTACTAGCTGTGTGACCCTGGGCAAGTCACACCGGTTAACTTCTGTCTGCCTCAGTTTCCTCACATATATATATATTTTTTGGGCTAGGCAATGAGGTTAAGTGACCTGCCCAGGGTCACACAACTAGTAAGTGTCAAGTATCTGAGGCCGAATTTGAACTCAGGTCCTCTTGACTCTAGGGCTGGTAATCTATCCACTGTGCCAGCCAGCTGCCCCAGTTTCCTCACATATGAAATGGGGATAATAACATGTACCTACCTGCCCAGGTTGTTGATTCAAATGAGATAATGTGTAAAGTACTTTATGAACCTTAAAGTGCTATATAAAGGCTACCTATATTTATCTATCACCTATCATTATTATTATTATTATTCACAATATATTACTGAATTCTGTTTTAAGATCTACTTTATCTTTTTCATTTTATAGTTAAGTTCATTACATAGTTATGATTATTGTATATTTCCTCTATCCTGTATCTTGTAATTTTAACTTCCTTTATTCCTATCTATCTCTTTACAAATAGGAAGGTGGTAGAAGAGAGGGAATCTGCCTGAAACCTTTCATTCTATAAATGAAACAACTTATCTCAGATGTAGCTCTTCTCTTTCAGTAACTCCATCCCTAAAACCACTTCATGTCAACACTTCATGTTCCTCACTCCAACACTTGAGTTTGAGACTTACCTACCCTACTCTTCCTCTTAGGTTTCTCCACTCCTTCGATTTCCCTTTTGAGTTTAATTCATTTCTATGCTGAAATCTCTAGATATAATTTTGTTCAATTTTCTTTTTTTCAGTTCAGATGAAAATGAGGTTCATGGGATACCTTTTCCTTCTACTCATTCTTCCATGATTATAAACCTTTTATCTAATGCACCTCTATATTGTAATAGTAACTTCCTTCTATTAATAGTAACGTCCTTTCTTTCCCAGTATACTTAATCCCACTTTCTTCCCATTTGTTTTCTCCTGAGACCGTTAATATAAAACAAAACCACCCACGGAATATCATTCTAACCTTTCTTTATGACTTTCTTTATGACTCTTAAAAGGTGTTGGTTTTAAGAAGCCATTTCTTTCTTAAGGAAATAAGCATTTATTAAATATGTACTATATGCCAGACACTGTGCTAAATGTTTCACAAATATTATCTCATTGAACCTTCAAAGATAGGTGCTATTATTATCTCCACTTTACATTAGAAGAAACTGAGGCAGTTGTTGTGGAGTTGCTATTTTCCTTGGGATTTATCCCTGGGCATCTTTCAAACTAAGGAGTTCTCTTGGATTTGTTTATCTTATCCACCTTAGTAACTAGGCTAAGTGATCTACACTTGGGCTAACCTCCACAACTAAATTGTGCAGGCAGAACCTGTTCTGATCTTGAGTATAGTGAGTCAGACCAGGCCCTTCCTTCAAGAAACCCAAGGATCCCTCTTGCCACTCAACTGGATGACCAACCCTTACTGCAGGGTCTGTCTGAGGTTTTTCCCCACAAGCTATCAGGCTCAGGAACTTCTCATGCACTAGGATCCCATCAAAGCATTAAGAGAATGCTTTGGCTGGATTTTGCTTAGGCCCATTCTCTGGCAGCTGGGCTCTGGTCATCAGTCTTGATATACTCCAGTGGCTCACTATTATCTCTTTGTTGTCGCTGTACATTAATTGTACATATATGTAGGTATACACACACACACACACACACACACACACACACACACACACATAAATAAAACTATTAGGACATACAAATGCTTCTTTGGCATTTAAAGCTCTTCACAAATCGGTTCCAACCTACCTTTCCACCTTTATCATATATTACATTTGATGGCAGTTAGATGACATAGTAGATAGAGCCACGGGCCCAGAGAAAAAAGACCTGAGTTCAAATTCAGCCTCAGACACTTACTGGCTGTGTAACCATGGGCAATTAATTAAAACTCTACCTTCCTCAGTTTCCTCAACTATAAAATAGAAACAGTACCTATCACCCAAGGTTGATGTAAGGATCAAATAAATATTGGTAAAGAACTCAGCACAGAGCCTGGCATGTAGTAATTACCTTATAAACCTTTGTGTATTGTCCCCCTGCTCCCTCATTCCATGTCTTCTTTGGTTTAGCCAACAGGCTTTCTTTCTGTTTCATATACTTGGCTGTCAATCTCTTATTTCTATCTCTGCATAGAGTATTCTTCCCCATACTGAGAATGTACTCCTTACCTCTGTCCCTTAAAATCCTGAGTCGCCTTCAAAGCTCAGCTCAAGAGGAAACAATTAATGGTGCCCCTTCCCCATCAAAATACCTTGTATTTTCATCTTTTATATCACTTAATCTAAATATTTTTATTCAAATTACAAGTATATGCTGTGTCCTTAAATAATGTAAGATCCTTGAGAGTAGGGACTCTTTCACAAAGATTAAAAAATGCTTATTAACTAAAAATAACATTGAGTACCTTTATCCTATCAGCAAACTTGTATTTGGCAATGATCATTTCTTGCAGCTGGCAAAAATCTTGATTCATTTCCACTCCATGTAGCTGCAATGCTGAACTATAAAGATAACCCTAAAATAAAAACATATGTAATAATTATGATAATTAGATTAGCTTTTGCCAGCTTCAGAAGAAAGGAAGACATTATCTTCAAAGAAAAAGAAAGAAAAAACTACCAAGAATAACACGATGAATAAAGCCTAGAAAACTTTGATTATATAGATTACCCTAAATGTCAAATAATAAAAGCAACTTTATACTTTACTTTGGAATGTATTGTGACTTTTCTTTGCAAAGATTTACCATCCTAATTATATTTAGTTATATAACTATTAAGAACAGAGTTACTATGGCAGAGTGATTAGGGAGCTGGACTCAGAGCCAGTAAATCTGGGTTCATGTCCTGCTTTTGACCTATACTATGTAATCCTTGGCAAACTTTTGGTACTTTAGATAATGCTAAGCCTGTAAGTTATAGAAAAGATGCTTTATTTGTAAAGGGAATGGCCTCACCTAGGAGTTCCTTATACCAATGAATTCACAATGAAATTATCACAAAACACAATGAAATTATCCCCACTCCAACTATTATATTAGTTTCCTGTTAATCAAACTGAGCACACACTAATTGTAGGGGAAGGTGGGTGAGTAGAGTAGTGAGTGACTTGAAGAATTAGGCCTAAGACTTGGATATCAGTTACAAAGTAGATTATTTTAATAAGGATAATTAATGACTATATGTTTTAATCTACCCATTAAATATGCACTTTTTTTTCTGCCAAGAAAACCCCACAAACACTAGGTCTACAAGGTCACAAAGAGTCAGACACAGCTGAATTACAACAAAATTACCGAAAAATCTATGTGAGGCAAAAGAAAATTTATTTCCATTAATTAATCTCTACAATAATAAATAAGAAGTCTGGGATAGTAGAGACAGGGCTAGAATTGGAGTTGGGAAAAGCTAGGTTCAAATCTCACACCTGGCATTTACTAGCTATGATCTCAGAAAGGCAACTTAAACATCTCTATGTCCCTGTGACTCTCTAAATTCACTAAATCAGAAGTTCTCAACCTGTGCTAAGATAATCCCAGGAGTTATAAGAAACTTTGTTAAGAAGGCATAAGGAATATAAATATCTACTGAAATATTCCAAAAATAGTAGTGTTAGTGAAAAAGCTTTGTGGATTGGAAAGAGAATAGTGAGAAGGTAGGGGCAGGGTGGGAAAAGGAAGCTGCATCTCAAAAACAAGAGGCATTTTAGAAGAAATAATTGCTACTGACCTAACCCAAATAATAGCTAACATTTATATGGTGCTTTACAAATCTTATTTCATTTTATCCATACAACTCTAGGAGGTAGGTACTATTACTAATGACCATTTACAGATGTTCATCATCCCATAAACACCTCCCCTTAAAAAACAAAAATCCACAAACCTCAAATCATTATTTTGGAGAGGCTATTATTTTCTCTTGAAGCTTTCATGATACGTTAACAGGTAGAAGCTTTAACATTAAAAATAAATCCAATATTAAAAAGTCAACTTTTATGACTTATAGCAGATATTGATTCCTCTAAAGACACCTGAATAAATTGATACATCTGAGTCTACTGCTTCTGGTTCATATGTTTAAACAAGTATGCTTATGAAAATTGGAAGCCTCATTTCAATTATCTAGTAAAACTTTTTTAATTGCACAAGTAATGAATAAAAAAATGATGTTAAAGGGATATTTAGGAAGCCAAGTATAACCAGAAGCTTTACAAATAAACCTTAGATCAAAGCTTTTTTGATCAATGCTCAGTACAAATTAGCAAAAGTAAGAAAAAAAGAAGACAGCACAAAAGTTAATAATCTACAAAAGACTAGCTATGTAGTATAAGTTATATTTAAGGTTTTTATGCCATCAATATTTTTATAATTTGTAAGAATAAATGATACTTTCTATCTGTGTCACCTTGGGCAAGCTATTTAATTTCATTAGACCTCAGTTTCCTCATTGTAACACAAGGGTGTTAGGACTAGATGGTCTCTGAGGTTCTTTCCATCTCAAGATCTATGATTCTAAGAGAGATCATAAGAATTGGTCTTAAGAAGAGGAAACTCAATATTATTATAGGAGATATTAATACTCACCTATCTGTGACACCTTTGATGTCACAACCTCATTGGTTCAACTTGGTGTTAGTTTAAGAAATTAAATTTATCTATTCCCTTGGATGGTATCAGGCAAAGCCAATTGTTAGCATAAAAAAATGCACCTTACAAACATTGAAGAAGTTCCCTTACTAGACTTTACCACAAATAGCACTGGGCCAAGTCTGGAACCAACATCAATCAAGACCTTTCCAGACAGATCCGGAAGCACATGCTGATAAATGAACTTCAATTCCAAAGGGGAGAAGGAATGAGAAATAAATCCTGAAGAATCAGAACAGAATAAAAACAAAAGTTTTGTATTACTGCAAGGTATTTACTCAGATACAAGAAGATAATGCATGAACAGTTCTTTTACTTACATTTATAAAGGATATTTCTTAATCTGTTAAGTATCTACAAGTGACGATTAATAAGAAAAAAAAAATCAGGATAACTTCCCACATTACTTTCACCCCCAAACCACTGTTGGAGAAGGTATAATATTAATAATAATAGCTGACATTTCTATAGCACTATAAGGCTTACAAAATGCATTAATTATGTTATTTCATTTATTCCTCACCACAGTCCAGTGAGAGATTATTCTTCCTATTTTACAGATGAGGAAACTAAGGCTTAAAAATGATCTATGTTCACACAACTACTAAGTGAAGAAGGTAGGAATTCAAGTTTCTCCTGACCTCAAATCCAGTACTTTTTCTAAAAGCCAAGTGGCACAGTGGATAGAGCACTAGGCCTGCAGTCAGGAAGAAATGAGTTCAAATCCAGCCTCAAACACTTACTAGCTGTATGACCTGAGGCAAGTCACTTAACTTTTGTTTCCTCAATTGTGTAAAAGGGATTATAATAGCATCTACCTTCCAGGATTTTTGTGAGGATCAGATGAGGTAAGAATTGCAAAGCGCTTAGCAAAGTGCCTGGCACATAATAAGCACTATATAAATGTCAGTTATTATTATTAGTAGTAGTAGTAGTAGTATACCTTTTCTGAAGAGCACCTCTAAGCTCATCCCTGATCCTCTCCAACTACATATATTTTCTAAATGACAATCCATTTCCATGTTCAGAGATTCTAAATACTGAAATTCTAACAAGACAGCAAAATTTCTGCATGTTTTAATAATTACCATTCTGAAATGCTCTAATTCCTAATCAAATTTTGGGAGAAGAAAGTATTTTTGGATTTTTCAAAACAGTTCAATGGAAACACAGACACATGGATGGTGAATTAGAATTCAGGAAGTAGAAGCAAACTGGGTAAAAAATTCTTGTCCCTTCCCCTCTCACCCTTAAATTCTCCCGGCCTCAGCTTCCCTTCTGTGAAATAAGGGTACTGAACTGGATGACTTCTCAGTTTTCTTCCAGCTCTAAATCTACAGTTCTATAATCTTTTCATCTAAGAGGGTACTAAAATATTCAAATTAGTAAAAATCAATGGTATTTTGGAAACAATAGAGGGAAATATCAATTCATTTTCTGATTCTAGTTCCAAAAATTTTAATAATACTGTTCCCATTTAGCACTTCAAAGTAATAAACAGCTTAACAGAACAAATTTAACATCACTTCCCATCATATAATAAATGTGACACTAAAAAAGTAATTAAAGGTTTGCCCTTCTTTAAGAAAACTCAATATAAAAATATGGGGAAAAAACAGAGAAATTAAGGTGGTGGTAATGATATACATTACAAAAAGATTATTAGACATACAAAAAAAATTATAAAGTAGCAGTTACCTACCATATAATAATTCTTGTTTACAGATAATTAATTTGACAGAAAAGAATAATAGCTAAAAGAACTAACAGCTAATCTTGGGAACTACCAACCAATCATTCAACAAGAATTTATTAAGCTTCAATATGTGCCTGGCACTGAGCAACAATCCCTGGTCAAAATAAGGGGGCCACTAGGTGGCACAGTGGATAGAGCACTGGGCTTAGCATCAGGAAGACTCATCTTTGTAAGTTCAAATCCAGCCTCAGATACTTACTGCCGTGTGACCCTGGGCAAATCACTTAATCTTGTTTGCTTTAGTTCCCTCATTTGTAAAATGAGCTGCAGAAGGAAATGGCAAACCACTCCAGCATCTTTGCTAAGAAAACCCCAAACTGAGCCACGGAAAGTTAGACAAGACTGAAAAATGACTGAACAACAACTGTTCAAAATGAGCTTACATTCAAATAGGAGAGATGCCACATGAAGCTTAATCAAATTAGATAATAATGTTATCTGTGAAATTCTAATATTTCAATTTAATTTTAATTTCTAAGAAAAAAAGCCAAAACAATATAAACAGAATTTTTCAGGGATAACGCTACTATAAAAAAAAGAGAGAAATCTATTATCTATTAATATAATACATATATCAATGACTCAAGTGCTATCAGTGAGCTGAACAAAACTGGAGTTCTAAGTACTTCTTATTATGTAAGAACCATAGCTTTACCAACAGTTCTTAATATACATCAACTCTGTGCATTTAATTATACTGCAATAAGAGGTTTCATTTTAAAAACAATTTCCCTGTTTCCTTTCTTTTAAAAAAAACTTTTTATTTTCGTACCTAATTCTCTTCCTTCCTATTCCCTCATCCTCTTCTCTGCCTTACTGAGGAGGTAAGAAAAACAAACAAAATCTGTTATACAGTCAGGCAAAACAAATGGTCTTTTAGCTAAGTCCAAAAAAATAAAAGAAGAGAGAAAATGTTTCCATTTACATAGTCTACATTCTAAGTCCATCAGCTTTCTATCTGGAAATAAACAGCATGTTTCATTATGAGTCCTTTGGAATTGTGGTTGGCTATTATATTGCTCAGAGTTTCTTAAGTCAGAGTTGATAATCCTTATAATTATTTTACTGTTTCCAAAATGATGAGAACTCCCTCAGTTTCCAGTTTTTTTTCCCACTACAAAAAGAGCCTCTATCTTTGTTGTTCATATGGGTTCATTTTTCTCATACTTTGATCTCTCTGAGGTACAGACCAAACAGTACTATTATTAGGTAAAAGGGTATGAACAGTTTAATAGTTTTTTTGGACACAGTTCCAAATTGCTTTTCAGAATGGTTATGCCAATTTACAGTTCCACCAACAGTGCTTTAATGTCCCCTTTTCCCACTGCCCCTGTAACATTTTGTCATTTTTCTTTTTGGTCAACTTCACCAATTAGACGGGTGTGAGGTGGTACTTCAGCTATTTTATTTTATATTTCTCTAATTATTAGTGAGTTAGCACTTTTTTTTTTTGGTGAGGCAATTGGAGTTAAGTGACTTGCCCAGGGTCACACAGCTATTAAGTATCAAGTGTCTGAGGCCAGATTTGAACTCAGGTCCTTCTGACTCCAAGGCCAGACCTCTATTCACTGTGCCACCCAGCTGCCTTTTTTTTTTTTTTTTGGCGAGGCAATTGGGGTTAAGTGACCTGCCCAGGGTCACACAGCTAGTGTCAGTTGTCTGAGGCCGCATTTGAACTCAGGTCCTCCTGACTCTAGTGCCAGTACTCTATGCACTGCACCACCTAGCTGCCCCGAGTTAGCCCATTTTTCCACATGGCTATGGACAGCTTAGATCTCTTCCTCTGAAAACTTACTTAAAACTTTGACTCATTTATCAAATGGGAAAGGGCTTTTTCCTGTTTCTCTTCTAATTTTTAGTTGCAATTGCTTTTGTGTAAACCTTTTTAATTTAATGTAAACAAAACTGTCCATTTTACCTTTTAACTCTTCCCTTATCCCTAGATATTACTGGTAATTTCTTCCATGCTCCTCTCCTCTCTTTTCCTCTCTCCCTCCTCCCCCACGAGGTAACATGCCCTTACCTGAGGGTATTCTTTTCAAAGGAAGGTAAATTTTGAGGGCTGAAACCTACCTACTTATCTTGGGCTTGACTGGCTAGATTTCTTCCTTAAAGTCCATGCCTTAAATTCAATTCACTGTGGCTCTCACCGATCAGCCATCAATAGTATTTTTCAGGCCCAGATGGCTCAAAGTGAATACAAATAATAATTGCTTCTTTCGTCAGTAGCCCTGAAGGTCTTCCTCTCCCAATTTGATTTTTTTTTTTTCATTAAAGGGGCCATCCCCAGACTCACTTCTTAAACAGGCCTAATCTCTGAATGGGCATTGCCTCAAAGTGAGAACTCAGGAAGACTTAGCTTAAAAAGGCCAAGGTCTCCCACTGCATCCTGTGCCATCTCCAGTTGTCCTGATCTATATCTAGCCACTGGACCCAAATGGCTCCTGAGAAAGAGGCTGGTGACTTTGCAAGGCTCTCCCTTACTCAAATCCAATTCAATTGCAAATCATGGCATCATCTTCCTGATGTCATGGTCTTCTTCAAGAATGAAGGACAAACCACAATCACACACAATCTCTAATTTACATGTCACTTTTTATTTCTATTGGAGTTTATCTTGGTATGAGATGTTATTCCACATCTACTATCTGTCAAACTACATTTTAGTTTTCCAATAGTTTTTATTGAACAGTGAGTTCTTCCCCAATAGCTTAGATTTCCGTAGGCTACTGTGTTGGTTGTTTCAGGATATTGTGTATCTTATCTGTTCCACTGATCAACCTACTTATTACCCAGGACCAAACTGTTTTGACATTTGGGGCTAAAGTTTGATGTCTGGTATTGCTAGGCCCCAATCATTCTCAATTTTTGTTTCACTGTTTTCCTTGATATTCTTGCTATTTTGTTCCACAGATGAATTATATTGTTTTTTCTACCTCTCAGTAATTCTTTGATATCTGATTGATATGGCACTAAATATGCAATTTAAGTAGAACTTTCATTTTCATTAAATTGGCTTGCCCTGCCCATAAGTAATATTTCTTCAATTATTAAAATGTCTTTATTCATGTAAAGTGCATTTGGTAATTGTTTTCATATAGCTTCTGTGTGGGTTTGGCAAGACACTCAAGCATTTTATATTATGTACAGTTAATTTAAAACAAAATTTTTTTTGGTACCTCCGCTTGCTGGATTTTGCTGGTATTAGAAAGAAATGTGGATGATTTATGTGGTTTTATTTTATATCCTGAAACTTTGCTCAAGTTGCTGTTTCAATTAATTTTTTAGCTGACTTTCTAGTGCTGTCAAAATAAACCACCATATCATCAACAAAATGTGAGTTTTGTTTATTTTTACCTATATTTATTTCTTCAATTTATTTTTGTCTTATTGCTAAAGCTTGCATTTGGAGTACAGTATTGAAGAGTAATGATGATCCTTATTTTATCCCTGATCTTATGGAACA